TCTCAGCCAAGTTCTCCCATTAACTTAGCATCACAACTTTTTCTTCTTGAACACTGTGCTCTCATTCATGTGCTACAGTCGAGGCAGTCACTAGGCCTTCATTCTCTGTTGCTAGAGTGGCCTTTGCCACTTTATGATCAAGGACCCGCTCCTCACTCCATTCTGTTCCTTGTGGACTACTGATACAGCTTGTAAAGGGTTTCCTTGGGTTATTTTCTCACTGAAGCTGCTCACATCTCCCCACTGTGCTTTGGGCGCCCCCTTCCATGAACACAGGAAACGTCTTTCTGTGCCAGTTTCCTCCAGGTACAGCTTGACAACCTGGCCCTTCCAAAATGAATGTAGGGCTGTGGGCTTGCTGGTCTCTTCCTGCCTATGTCTCTGTCCTGCATGTATAGCATTCCTTGTGCTCTGCCCTGTGCCCTGTTAGAATTCAGCACCCCCATCCCCACCCCTGCCAACACACTGTAGCTTCCCTTTCATCTGAATGATGTGCTGCCTGCTTTCAGGAACCCTCACAGACTTTCCTTGGCATGGTGACATCTCCTTTTGCTGTTTTTGAGTGCTGTCTTACCTGGTCTGCTCATTTTTGTCTTTGGTGTTCCATCTTTCTAGCTTGCTTTGTATAGCAACTTTGAAATATGATTCACATGCTATGCAATTCATTCTTATAAAGTACTCCTTTTTTTTTTTCTGGTGTTAGTATTGAACCCAGGGCCTCATGTATACTAGGCAAGTGCTTTCCTACTGAGCTGCATCTAGATGTGTACAGACATGACCACTGTCATTTTTGTGATATTTTCAACACCCCCCCCCAAGCCCTCTATGTTTATCTACCCCCAGTCTCTCTATCCCCCATTGTGGTTTGAACCTAAAATGTCCCCTAAAAGTTTCCTGTTCAGAGATGAGACCTGGTCAGAGAGGCAGATCTCTGGGGAGACCGGGAGGAAGGTGTCTTCTGGTCTTTGGCTTCTCCCCTCTCCCTCTGCTTCTTGCCTGCCATGACGTGAGCAGCTTTCCTCTACCACATCCTTTCAAAATACCCTTTCTGTCTAGGAGCCAGCTGGCAGTCGACTGAATCCACTGAAACCATGAGCCAAAATATACCTCTCCTTTAAGTTTCAGGTGTTGGGAATTGTGTCTCAGCAATGGGGAAGCTGACTGTACACCACCTAAGCCCAAGGCAACTATGATTGTATTTTCTGTGTATAGAGATTTACAGAATCTGCACATATTGGGTAAGTATACCCTGTAGGATATAGCCTTTTGTATATGACGATTTTCACTTAGTGCGTTAGTTACTTTTCTCTCATTGCTGAGACATAATACCTGACACCCAAGTTAAAGGAGAAGGGTTTTTTTAGCTCATAGTTTATAGAGATTTCAGTCCATAATCAGTTGTCTCCAAGGCAGGGTGGCACATGACAGAGGGTTGTGGCAGAGGAGAAACAGTTCATAGTAGCAAAAGCAACAAGGGACCTTAATTGTGTCTTCCTGCCCCTTTTCTCTTATTCAGACTACATAGTAGTGGGTAGCACTTATACCCTTAATTCTAGTGCTCTCAGGCCTAGCATTGCACCATGAATCAGTCACACACTAGATTCAGCAACCTCTGAAAAAGCTCTACTGTAAGATCACAAGAGGAAATATTTGCAAGGTTCATCCATGTTGTTTTTTTTTTTTTTTCATTCCTTTTAATGACTGAATAATGTTGCATTTTATAGATATACTTCACTTTACTTATCCATTCATTAGTTGATAAGTATTTGGGTTGTCCACTTTTGCCCAGTATCATGATCTGAATACAAGTGTACACATTTTTGTGTGGGCATGTTTTCATTTCTTTGCAGGGTACACCTAGGAATAGAATTGCTGGATTATATAGTAACTCTCTGTTTAACCTTTGAAAAACTTCCAGGATGTTTACTGGAGTGGCTGTATTTTTTTACATCTCCACCAGCAGTGTATGAAGGTTCTGATTTCTCTGCAGCCTTGCCAACCCTCATTGTTTGACTTTTTGATTGTGACTATCTTAGTGGTTTTAAAGCAGTGTCTCACTGTAGATGAATGTTGTTTTTCTCTAATAACTGATGATGTCAAGCATCTTTTTATGTGCTATTTTGGCCATTTCTGTATCTTTGGAGAAATTTCTGATCAGATCCTTTCACATAATGAAACGCCTGAGATAATTAATTTATGAAGAGAAAATGTTTATTTTGGCTCCATTTTGGAGATTTCACTTCGTGGTTGATTGGCATTATTGTTTTGAGCCAATGGCAAGGGGCACATCAAGCAGGAACAAGTGACAAAGCAAATTGTTGTCCTTGTGAACCAGGTAGCGAAGAGAGGAGAAGAGAGGTCCCACATCCCCCTCAAGCACCTGAGGACCACCAAGGACCTCGAGTGCTGGTGTCTCCCAGTAGTGCCGTCCTGGAGACCAAGCTTTTCACATGTGGACCTGTGAAGCAACTTAGCAAGCCATAGCACCAGTTTTTTAATGGGATTATTTTTCTTTTGATCATGGCTTGTGCGAATTCTTTGCCTATTTTCAAATACACATTCCTTATCAGCTAAATGGTTTATGTATATTTTGTCCCATTCTGGGAGTTGTCTTTTCAGTTGCTTGATTGTGATTTTCCTTAGTTTTGTTTTTGTGGTACTGGTGATTGAACCAGGGGTTCACACTTGATAGACTAGCGTTCTGTCACTGGGCCCTTTCTTGATTTTCGAAATTTTAAGACAGGGTCTTGCTAAGTTGCCCAGGCTGGCTGTGAAGTTTTGACCCTTCTGCTTCAGCTTAATGAGTAGGCAGAATTACAAGCATGTGCTACTATGTCTGGCTTGGTTGTGTCTTTTGATAAACAAAGCTTTACTTTGATGAAGTCTAATGAATCCATTTTTCCCCCCTTTGGTTGCTTGTACTTTTGCCAACACAAAGTCATTAAGATTTAGCCCTATGTTTTCTTCTAAGAATTTTTATTGTTTTAGCTCTTACACCTAAGTCATTGATCTTTTTTGAATTAGTTTGTATATGGTGTAAGGTAGGGGTCCAGCTTTATTATTTGGTATGGGGATATTATGTTGTTACCACACCATCTATTTCCCTGATTGAATTGTCTTGGTCCCTGTGCTATTTTGTTACTCTAATGAAATACTTGATGCTGGGTACTTAGAAAAAAGATTTACTTGGTTCATAGCCTGGAGGCTGAAGGTCCAGTGGATGTGATTCTGTCTCTGGTGAGGGCCCCTTAGCTACAGAGCTTCATGGTGGGTGGGATCACAGTGGCAAGCAAGAGCACATAAGAGAGGGAGCAATCACATCAGCCGATCACAAGCCAGAGTGGAGGGGGACAGTAACAGTCTCTCCCTGGCCCACTTCCTGAAGGTCCCATCACCTGTCTACCTTATTATCCAAGGACCACGCTTCCAATGTGTGAGCCCTGTCCAAACCGTAGGGGCATCTCTGCTGGAGTCAGTGTTCCCTCCCATTGATGTGTTTGTTCAGTCTTGTTCTGTGTCATTCCCTAGCTATTGAGTTTGTGTACATGCTGTATATATACAAGAGGGACTCAATCATTATTACAGTCTTCAGTTACTAAATTAAACATTTGTGGTAAAAAATGAAGATACACATGCACACACACACACACACACACACACACACACACACACAGAAATGGAATTAGACCCACAGGGTCCAGCGGGAGAGTCCTGCCTCTGCTTTTCCCACCCCATTGTGGAGCTGAACCCTGTGAGTGCACTGGTCAGTGCCTCTGTAGATTCCTCTCTGGGCAGATCCATGTGCACACGCATGACGGTTCAGATGCACATTGTTGGTCAGAGTGGACATATGTTATTCACACGCACCCAGAGTGATGTTCACCTGCATTTTAATAGCCCTGTCTATCTTTTTACACAATGGAGATGTACAAAAACTCTGTGACTTAACACACCCTTCCTGTCCATCCTTCCTGACTGTGTGTACATGTCTTACCTCATTCTTTCTAATGGCTCCAGACTTTAGAGGGTATATGCTAAGATTTCTGTAACCAGGGCCCTGTTGTTGGATATTTATGTTTTCCGGGTTTTGTCTGTTTGCACCAGTACTACAGTGAGCCTCCTTATACATGCCTCTGTGTACACTGGGGAGTGTTTTTCTCAGTCAGACATGTGGAGGTAGAATTGCTGATCATATCTTTTGTCTTAAAGTCATGTTTAATGTCTTCCCCTCCACTGTGCTTTATGATGCCTTGCACATATTAGGCGCTTAATAAATATTTACTGAAGTGAACTCTTAAGGGCTTTTATTCTCGATTCATCCCTAGCTTGCTATTTCATCTCAGTAAACTGTTTTATGACACCCTTATGCCTATTTCACTTCCTCCGAAATGAATGAACATTTTGGTTATCCAGACTTCATTAGGGGAACTAAGGTGAAATGAATCAAGAAGTATTTTGATTATCTGCTCTTTGTGGCACTGGAGGATGTACAGAGGCGAGGGAGATGCGACCCTGGCCATTATGGTGTACACTGGCTGGCTGGCAGGAGGTACAGTGCCACTGAGGAGACACCCGCATTACAGTGGGCCTAAAGGTTGTGGTGAATGATGCTTCTTCACTCAGGTGCTGTTGCGATATTACCCTTCATGGAAGTGTGACTTAGGCTGATGGAGATAGATGGGGTGGGAGGCAAGGGCTCATTCTGGCTCAGAGGGGCAACGTGTGGCTTCAGAGGTGACAAGAAGGGAGAACTCAGGTGTCTTTGAGTGTAGGGCATGTGGAGGTGTGGTGGGAAGTGCAGCTGAAGAGCTGGGGGTATGCAGCCAGCAGGCTGGGCATTGCTCTGGGAGGCCCTGGGCACCATGGATGGTTTTTGCATAGAATTAGATTATCAGAGTTGGTCTTGAGGAAAATATGTTCGGGAAGTCTTAATTGCTAGCAGTTTCTGTGATATAACTTTGTCCCACCCATCTTTTCCAATTCCTCAATCCTCCCTGTAGCTGTCTGAGAATGTGGTCCAACGCATGAAGGATTCCAGAGCTCCTGCAGAAGGCCAGCAGCCAGCCCCTCCACCTGCTGCTCTGGACTGTGGCTCCACAGCTCCTCAGAAAGGTACAGCGGGCAGAGCGACCTGGGGATGGGGAACAGGGAAAGGGAGGGACATGTGACGACGTCTGACTGCTGACATGGCCACTTGGGTGACATTAGTGAGTCCTGTCTGCTTGTGCTTTCCCAAGAGCGTGGCCTTTTTGCCTGATAGATGCGGTTGGGGCAATGATGGCTGCACTGTATCTGGCCACAGAACAGACTATTTTCCCTCACTGTTTTGGTTTCTCTACATGGAAAAAATGAGGCAGAAGGATATGCTCTGACAACTCAGATGAGAAGGTGCTTTATAGATTCTAAGAGACACAAAGCCATTCCCAGCCTCAGTGACTCTAACCTAACCCTGGGGCGTTCTCCCTGGGGCTTCCAGTTGGGGCTCTAGGAGTTCCTCTTCCCTGCCAGCTGCAGAGGTGGTCCTACACTGTTGCCTACCAGCTTGTCCCCCCACAAATGAAGAAGTTTGTGCCTTTCCCCAAATGGCTACAGTGGCATACCTATCCAGAAAGTTGTAAGAAAAGAGACTGTAAGGTACAAGAAATTAAGATATTGCAAAATAAAAGAAGTTCTCAGAACACCTGCTATTTTAGTCAGTAAATGCTGCTCATCAGAATCTGGGCCTGTCACCTGAAACTTGATTTTTTTTTTTTAATGGAAATGGACTGTCTGGAGAAGCCATGACAGGACAGGGGATGGACAGTGTCACAGTGGACGCCATTCACTGCTGTGTAATCATGTGCATGGCCTCACCCAGTGTCAGTTCTACTGATCTGCCCTGTCCCTACTCTTTGGTCATAGGAGTTTGCAAGGTGGGGCCGTGTCCTACTCACCAGTGCTTCCACAGACACAGCCGCAGCTGGTTGGGACCCCACCCTCGGGGCACACAGGGTCCTAGTTAAGGCCCAGATATGTTCCCTGAGAGCACATCTAGTGTCACAGCACTAGAGGACTGCCTTGCCCGAGGTCCAGGATGGCACAGAGCAGGCTTGTTGTTCTAGGAGGGGTCCTGGATTTAGATAGGGTTATAGGTGGACTTAGGGGCAGAGGCCCAGAAGTGTGGAGTGGCCTGGCCTATTTGGTGACCTAGAAGTAGTTTGTTGTCTTGGAATACAAAGTAGAAAGGACAGGCAGACATTGGGGTGTTTTGTCAGCACGATGCCCAGAGAGCTCTGGCTTCATCCTCAAGGCCTGGAGGCATCAGCCAGGAGTTCTGACACCCTGTCTCTTGAGGGATTCTTGGGGCTCCCACATGCAGCCGCGCTGGTCCTGCCTGGATTGGACTCACCCTGTCTATTTGAGGGGGCTGAGTGAGATTCGAGAAAGTCCCATAAGATGCCTCTGTACTTTACCAAAAATTTTAATTTCCATGATCCACCTGTAGCTGGGAGACGAGAGGGGTTGAAGAGGATCTAACATGACCTGATGTGTAATAGATTCACCAGTGAGGAGAAATTGATAAAACAACAACAACAACAAAAATAAAACAAAAACTGCCATGTACGTGACATGTCAGCTTCAGCTCTGGAATGAAAGAAGCATTTGCTTGCTTTTTGGTTTGAGCATTGTAAAAAAAGGAAAAATAATGGTTTGTTCATTGTTTGCTTTTAGTTGTAGTGAAATATTTTGTAGTTGAAGTGATGAGTGTGAGTTTTGAGTTTCTGAATTCTGAAGAAGATTTAAGATAAGTGGACTGCCTTAAGCGGAGATATGTTTAACTCTTAAAACCAGTTTTTTGCATTTATTTTAGTGATGGAACAAGGTTAGAAAAAGAAGTTAAAATTAAATCCTCATCTCACACCATAGCCCTAGATAAGTGCCAGAGGAAATAAAAGATGTAAGTGTAAGAATTGAAACCATAAAAATAAAAATGGCTTTTCTAAGCATCACATCAAGTAAGGAAACCTTAAATTAAAGAACAAAACTAGAAAATTGACTATCTGAAATTAGAGACAATGAAAAAAAAAAACCCGAGGAATGGATGATAAAGGAGGAATGATAACATTTGACAAAGTACTAGTAATCTTAATATATGAGGAGGTCCTTAAGAGAACACAATAGAAAATGTGCACAAATTGTCTGATATTTATATGACGAGACTTTTGACTTTGCTAATAATTGAATACATACATATTAAGTCAGTAGTTGTCAAGGGAACAAGGAAGCTGGCCGAATCCTACAAGCAAGGGAGAAATGTAGATTCATGCCGCATTCTTAACAGTGGGTAGGTGTATTATTTTTATAGTTGTAAAATATGAAAACTATATCAAAAGCAAAAATAAGTACCGTAAATTGCACCTCAATGAAGCTGTTGGAAATGAAGAATGAGGAGCGTTAATGTCAAAATAAGACCCCAGCAACAGTCCGTTCACTTTGCAGTCTCCATGGAGAGCCTGGGATGTTCCTGTGGAGCATGTGAGGTGTGTCCTCACCAGGCCGGAGCCGTGCCTGGCTGTCCCCATGCGAGCCAGAGTGAGTCATGGGCTGACCTGTCTTGAAAGTACCTCCCGGCTGGGCACCTTAACAGCTGGGGTGGAAAAGTGAAGGCTCAGTCCTTCCTAGAAGAGCCTTCTACTTCTGTCTGCTGCTTGTGTGCAGTTCTGGCCGCTATGGCAGCAGAAACCAGCGATGGAGAGAGACAACATCAGAAAGCCACGGAGAGGTGCCGAGCTTTGGCTGACAGTGTGTGGAAGGGTGGTAGCTGGGGGGAAGGGAGAACAACAACATTCAGCGGCACCATGTGGTAGAGAGATCAGAGCTGATTTGCTTGGAAATCGCCAAATTCATGACGGCCTGTAACAACCTAATGATACTAAAATGATACAGGTTGTAGTATAATAGCTTAATATGGGGTTATGTCACATGCAGGATTGGCAATCAGTAGAACAGGATATTGGGTTAGTTTTCTGTTACTGTAGCTGATAGCTGAACACCTCAAGCTTAACCAGTTCACGAAGAGAAGTTTCTTACAGTTCTGGAGGCTGGGAACCCAGTCTGCTTGGTGAGCCACACTTGTTGGGCGTTTCCTTGCTGGTGAGGACTCTGGTAGCATAGAATATCATATGGTGAGACAGAGCAAGCATGCAAGCTCAGGTCTCTCTTCCTCTCCTTAAATCCATGGATGCCATTATGGGCCCCAGCCTGGTGACCTCATCCTATCTTAGTTACCCCCCAAAGCCCTATCTCTTAATACCCTTAGAATAGTAATTAAATCTCAAACTACAGTGGTACTAAAGGAAGCAAAACTTAAGGAGCCTTCTGTCCTCTCCTGCCCCTATGCCAAAATCTAGACCTAGGAGGCTGTTCTCGTGGAGCAGAGCCCTGGCTTCCGCCAGCCACATCTGGCCTTTAGGATGTGACCTAGATTCCAAATCATGACTGAATGAGTAGTGATGGATTTGAAACACTGCATAAAGTGGCTGGAAGCCCTGTGCTGTTAGCACCTGGTGCAGAGAGATCTTGTCCGCTGGGGCCTAAGAGGAGCTGTGGGGTCAGCAGGCTGCTCGAATCAAGGACCGGTCCCTCTTCTGTCTGCCAGGGCTCATTGGTCTATCTATGGGGCACGCTTTTCTGTGGGGGACATGTCTGTTTGTGGGGGCACTGTTCCGAAGGGGCACCTTCCTAGGTGGGGGTGTGTTCCTGAGCCCTTTTCTGGGTGACCAAGCCTGCCTTCTGACAGCATTCCTTTTCCTTTTCCTTTGCAGAACCCAAACTGCCCAGGTCCGAGACCAGTGGTAACCGGCAGCCCTTGGGAGTGAAGGAGGACCTGAAGAGGTGAGCCTGAGCACCTGCCACAGGTGCTGTGCTCTGTCTACCTGACGCCTCATTCCTCTTTGCTGGTGCACTCCCTGCTTGCACCCTGGGAGTTTTGTCTCTCGTGTTTCATCTCATTTGTGTTGAGGTACAGCCCAGTGGTATAGGTGGCACTGGTCCTAGTTTAAAGATGAAGAAATTCCAACAGGGGCCCAGGGGAGCTGGGCTTTTAAAAATCCATTTTAAAAAGCTCGGACTAAACAGCAAGTGGCTGGCCTTTGTGTATGGGGGTGTGTTTGTGCATGCACTCCTGTGTGCTAACCCACGCACGCACCTACAGGCATGTGTTTATAGACAGATGAAGAAAGTGGAGCCCTCCCAGTTCTAAGCGATGGACTGTCTCCAGGATGTTGGAGACTTCCTGTCAGCCAGGCCAGGATCCTGAGAGCTAGCCCACACCTAAGAAATGGGACCTGCTTCCTGTCCCCTTAGGACTTGTAGAAAAGTGCTTAAGGCCCAGAGGAACCTGGGTACAGACCAACACCGAGGTTCTGTGACCCACTAGTCAGCCGGGAAAGTCACCCTGTCTAAGAAGAGCTAAGAAGGGTGCATCTCTAACTGGGTGTTGTCATGATTTAAAAAGGCAGTGCATATAAGGTGCAGAAACATGTGCCTGGCTCGCAGAGCGCTCAGGGACTGCTGGCTGCACTTGGTACCCACTGGCCTCCTCAGGGCCCATGGGGAAGCTGGCTTCTGAGGTCAGAGGATCCACAGAGGTAACTTATGTCCCAGGTTCTGCCTCATTGGGGACTTTGTCCCTCTAGTGAGTGAGTAACCCATGCTGGGTTAAGACCCACACCCTAAGAATTTACTGTCCCTACTCCTAAGAGATCCCTCTGAGAGTAACCTGAACCAACTTGAACTCTTCCTCCATCTCTTTTTGGACTACTGTTCAACAATTCAAAAATGTTAAAGTAATATGTGCTAGAAAATATATAAAACAAGAAAAATCCCCTTAGACTCAGTATCTGTCTAACCATGGTTAAGATTTTGGCGTGTCTCTTTCACGTGCCTTCTTTCCCTTAGTTCATGATTATGTTTTCAAGCCATATGTAATTTTACATCTTTCTATTTTCACTCAGATTATATTTTCCACTAGTTATAAGCATTTTATTGCTAAATATATTGTTTACTTGTTCTCATTTTAGATTCAACATATAAATAAGTCAAAGAGTGTATTCTCCTTGATGGTATAATACACCATGGTATGATTATGTTATATTTTGTTTACATTGACCTTGACCCTTGTACATTTAGGTTTCTTGTGTTTGTGTGTGTGTGTGTGTGTGTGTGTGTGTGTGTGTGTGTTTTGTATCAGGAATTGAACTCAGGGCTTTGCACTTTCCAGATAGGCGCTGTGCTGCTAAGCTACACCTCCCAGCCCTGGTTGCTTGTGTTTTTAAACTATAATAAATAATATCTAAGAGCATCTTAGCACAAAAAATTAGTTTTCTCTGTATAGGATTATTTTTGTAGGCAGAATGCCCAGAGTAGGTCATAGGGTAGGAACATACAGTTAAGTGTTCAAAGCAAAAGACCACTGAAACCTTGGGCTTTCTCTCACATGGTGCCAAGGAGAAGTTGGGGCTCCTCATCCTGCCTCTCTCATTTGAAGGAGGGACTCACTTGGGATTCAGCCCACCCGGTCCTGAGGCTCTCATTGGGCACCTGGCTGCCTAATTCCTTACGTGGTGGCCAGCTCTCCTGCCCTGTCCTGTTCTGAGTCACCCTATCCTGGCATTGGGAGCTGTTCCTGATGTCTGAACTCCGAGGGGTCTGGGCTTTCCTTTCCTGGCTGGCCTCAGAGTTCCATCGGTCCACAAATCCTAGCCCTGCTGGGCCAGCTGAAGCGAACACAAACACACCATTTTTCCTGCTGATATTCTGCCAGTTGTGCCTTCTGCATCTGCCTCTCCCCTCTCTTCTGGCCTAGGTTTAGACAGGAGCAGGCCATAGTCCAGGATGAGCTGTTCCAGGTGGTGAAGCGGGAAAGAGAGGCAGCTGCCAAGCACTTGACAGCGGCCCCGCCTGCGGTGGAGGGCAGCACTGACCAGGAAAAGCAGCAGTCAGCTCGGCTGGTGAGTGCATATCTTCCTGGATGCTGGGTCTGTGTGCAGCCAGTCAGATTCCTCAGCTGCTACTGTGATTAATACATGTCATTGATTGGAGGCCATTAGTCAGGATTCTTTCTGCTGAAATGGAGAGATATTTCCTAACATGAGATATCCAGACACACCCCTGGCTCTGACATCCGCATCTGCAGGGACCCTGTGTGCCTCCTTCCTCTCTGCTATCCCCAGTGTATCATCTGTACTCAGGCTGACTGACCCTGCAGTGATGGCCATAGGGACCTCATGGTCACATCCTCAGCTGCAGAAGAGGAGACACTGTGTCAGCCCACATGTCTCCACCTGCAAGGACCTCTTAACCAGAGCCCTTGAGAGAATTGCATGAAGTGCCGTGGTTGAACCAGTCCTTGGTACAGCGAGTGTCAAGGGCTCCACGGACTGTACCCAGGATGCTTTTCTAGGCACACTTTTAAGATGGACAGCCAGATGGAGTTAGGGCTCACAGGGCAGGTAGAAGGAATGGCTATTGGCTGCATCTCAGGACATGGGCTTTGTGCCCTGCACTGGGTGTGCAGCCCAGTGCCCACAGAAGGGAGGAGAAGCCGCATGAGATCACCTCTGGGGATGGGATGGCAGGTCTGCTGGTTGGGTGCAGGCCTCTACTTACTAATTCGATGATTACACAGATGTTCAAAGCATACAGTGGGTGTATAGGGCGTGCTGGTTTAACTGGGCCCTCTGGGAAGTACAAATAAGCTCGACCCTCAGGAAATTTTCACTATAGTGGGGAAGATACATTTAAGCCAAGAACTTTAAAAAGTCCAAATTGGTTACGTGCATGTTAAATGGCAGTAAAGATGCAGTGATTTGGGAATTAAGGAAGTCGGGTAAGGTGCTGGTGGTCAGAGGTGGCATTCGACCTCAGCCCTGGAAGCTGTGTGGCCTTCCCAGCTGGACGAGGCAGCTGGTCTGTCACAGGGCACAGGACACTGGGTGAGAAGAACATGGTCTGAAGCCAGATTGTAGGCTTTGGATGCCTAGAGAGCTCACAGAACAGCCCATGGTGACTGTGATGTGGTAGAGGCTCCTGAATTGGGAGTGGTGCCCTCTGACTTTTGCATCCCTGTGGATCCCGCAGGAATCAGTGGCTGTAATGACAGGACAACATGGCCGTATAGTTCTTGCAGTTCATCTCTGAGGCCGGCAGTCTGATAGCCATGTGCAGAGGGGTCTTGTCCTGGAGAGGAAGGGTTAATCAGTTTAGACAGAGCAGGAAGTCACCTGGGACAGTCATTGAGAGATGGAAAGTCACAGCCTACAGCTGTGCCAGCTCTTCATTCTCACCTGGGAAGTGTTAATTACAGTGAAGGGGAATTCACAGCTTCCCTTTCCTCCAATTGCAAAGGAAAAGGTTGGGCTGCACTGCCTGGACTGTCCCTGGGGAAAGAACTTCTCTTCTGCTGGTAAAGTAGGGAAGAACTTAGATAACTCTTGGCACAGGTGTGTAGCTTTTTTTTTTTTTTTTCCTTTTTTGGTACCGGGGATCAAACTCGGGTCCTTGTGCTTGCAAGGCAGGCCACCGAACCACTGAGCTAAATCCCCGGCCTGTTTTTGGGTTTTTTTAAATGAAGGGTGACTTTAGAATAAAGTATATTTGTACTTGATTTCCTCCCAGATTTTGCGGTAGATAATGCCCTTCTCTGAGCCAGAGTTTCTAGGGAGCAGTGAAGCAAGTTACTTCTTTCAGTTTGGAAATACTTAACTTTTGTGGGCATTCCCAATTTTTTTGTTGTTTGTTTTGGTACCAGGGATCAAAGTTAGGTCCTTGCGCTTGTAAGGCAGGTGGTAGAACCTCTGAGCTAAATCCTTGGCCCGGCATTCCCAATTTTTGACTGTTCTGCATCTATTTCTCCTTGCAATTGGTGCTCTAGATTCCTTTTGGGAGCCTTCCTGTTTCCTGTGGAGCATATCCTTGGTGGGATTGTAATCCTGACACCTAGCTTCCTGTATGGAAAATGTGGCTACAGGTCCTAAGCTCAGTCAGGGAAACCCCTGCCCCTGGGACTTCGAGTTCTAAGTGAGTCTAGAGGAGGCCAGGAGACCTGGCTGGAGTTCCTCACTGCAGTTCAGGTGGCGCTCAGGCTTGCATGCTGACACTGTTGTGTGCCCCAGGCTGCCGAGGATTTTGCCTAGGGCACCAGCCTTTTGGAGGATTGTGTCACCTGCTGATCACTGCCTGTCCCTCTGCTTTGCTGAAGTTCACTGGGGTTGGTTTCTGATGTGTGGAGCCATGACAGAAGCATGTCGTACAGGAGGTGCTGCAGCAGATGATTTGAGGGGTAGGCAAGAGTAGAATGGAAGCCAGGTGCTGTTCTATAAATTGACAGCAACACCAGGCAGCCAACTGAAATGGTGGGTGGATGCTATTGCCATCACTTTTAAAGGAAGCAGCTCCCTTTGGATTGGGATGGTATGGTTGGCAAGTGCTTTAGTGGAGATAATTCCAAAACTGTACTTTGGAAGACTTAAATAAGAGGAGAAAGATGAAGAGAAGAACCTGAACAAAGTATTTTCTCATCCAAGTCTTCCACATGCAAAGATTGAAGGTGGCAGTGAGTTGGCAGACTGCTGGGCTGGGTGCAGAGGGCCTGGTATTGGAGGTGTGGGCCCCACACTGGGGCGGGGCAGCCCCAAGGCAGTGTGGTGTGCTTGTTAGCAGGATGAGCTGGCTGCCTGCTGTTCCTTGGGCCTCCTTGGGTGCAGTGTCCCTGAGCCCCACACTCCCAACCTAGAGCCTCATCCGAAGGACTTGCTTTTGACTGGACTCAGTGCCATTTGACATTTAATGTGATCTCCTGCCCTCTCTGTTTGCCTCTGACTTTTACAATATTGATTTTTTAATCCTCTTCTGCATGAGTGAATGATTCAGCTCATTACTGGAAAAAGTTAATAAAACTAATGACAAGGAAAGGTAATAATTTTTCTAACCTACTTCTGATGACAAATGATAACATTTCCCATCTAGCATAGCCGTGTGAACTCTTCTATGTGTGTTTGTCCATTTCCTGTCCATTGCAGACCGGTCCAGCCCCCTGTCCTGCTCTGGATGGAGGCTGTGGGTGTCACTGGAGCCCTTGGTAGCTGTGCTTCCCTCTAAATTGGCAGAGGAGGTCTGGAGTCCAAATCAAACACTCTGCATAAAAATAAAGAACAAACAGTTGGTGGATCTGAGTCTTCTTACAAGTGGAGCTTTATCTACTCGATGGATGGAGTAACACAGGCCTGGCAGAGTCTTTACTTTGGGGGAGAATAAGATTTATGACCTTGCCTGTTGCTTCCCTGACATGTATTATTAGGTATGTGAGATTGCAGTACACCTGATAGAGAGCAGAAACCTTCATTTCTTTTCCATTTTGGTGTGCAATCCTTCTATTATATATATATTTTTCTCTGTGTGCCTATTATGTGTTGGGCCCTGGTTTAGTTAGTTTCCTAATAAATGAGAACTTATAAGCTATAGCTAATCTCAAACAGATGTATTCGCTAGGAGAGTTCAGCATTCTCAGAAGGGACAATACAATGTTGAAAGTATACTAGAGGGACAGAAAGATACTAGAGCACCATCTGAGGGAACCATCTGACTCCTCTTGGTAGGATGATGAGAAAGGCCTCTGGGAAGAGGTTACATGTGAGCTGGTTCTGGAAGGGCGAGGCAAGTTCATCCTGCGCAGAAGAGGGAGAGGAGAGTTTGCAGGTGAAGGGTGCCCAGGAGCAGAGGCCTGGTGTTGGGAGGGGATTGGCGATGGGCTGGAGCAGAGAGGAATGCAAGGGTGCCAGGGTGGGGCCGAGAGGTCAGCTCAGGTGTGAGTGTGCGATGGCATTCAGGAAGGTTGACTGGAGCTTCAGGGAGGGGTTTCTCGGCAGAGACAGGGAAGGAGCAGTTGCTGTCCTGCTGACCATCAGACACTAGTAAAAGTGCCCATGGGATTCAGTGTTTTTGAGTTTCACTTTTCTAAAATTCTAAGTGATACAGCAGAGTTCTACTGCAGCTATAGCCTTTCTTCTAATATCTCCCTCCTCCATTTTTGTAGTCTTGTTCCTCAGCCTCTAAACTCCTTGAGGATCGGAACTGTAGAGTTCTGGCCTTCTCTGAAGTGCTCGGCAGATTGTGGGCAGACAGCAAATGACCATTAGTTGGAGGCTCTTAAGTGGGTGGGCCCTGGAAGCCTGGTCCAGCAGTCGTCTCTCCTTGGGGTCTTATTGTGGGCCCAGTGCTAAAGGACAGTGGTTCACGTCTGACCATTGTCAAAAATAAGACAAATCAAACCAAAAAGTCTTTCATTTGTAATGATATCTGTGAGTTCACTAAAAAGTTTACTTGCCCTCCACACTGCGACTTACAGACTTTAGGTTTAATTTGCTGGAACAAAGTAGAGGATGGGCTTCGGTAACTCTGTCCAAGATCTGAAAACAGACTACTAGCCTTTCAGCTGAGGCGGTCCTGATGTCTTGGATGAGCTTTCTGGCATGGTTGTTTGTTTTAGGATTTTAGTGACCTTTCGACTCAGGTGGTCTTGTCCTTAGGCCTCTTCCAATTTCAGCTTATAGAGAGCTTGAATTTCTGTGATGGTATATATTGTTAACACTCAGATGGCTGGCAAAAGGCATTAATTGGCAAAACAAATCATGACATTCCTTTCTGTGCTTCCTCTCTTTCCTTTTGTTCCCCCTCTATTTTTCTCTTCTTCCTCCTCCTATTCTTTGATCTTCAGAATTTAGTCTTCAGATGACATCAGGGGTTGATTACTTTTTTTCCCTGTAAAGAGCCACATAGTAAATGTTTTAGGCTTTGCAGACCACATAGAATCTCTGCCATATATTCTTTGTTGTTTTTATAACTCTATAAAAGTATAGTGGCCATTCTTGGCTGAGAGGCCATACCAAAGGGACTGTGAACTAGATCTGACTGTGGGCAGAAGTACATAAAATAGAAAGTACAGCCATGACGA